GAGACGTTTCAGACCATATTTCGCGCGGAGAAAAGTTGAAAGATGATGGAGGCATGTCTGGATAACTCAGAATTTTTGAGACGTTCCCCTGGGTGGATATTCACGGATGAGGGTTGACTTGGGGTGAAGAAAAAGCCACTATAACTTTGCAGTGGTACTTGCAAATGAAATCCGAGGCATGAATGCTCTCCTTGTAAATTGAGTCATCCCTTATACACTTCTCTGATATTGAGTCAAAGCTAGATAGCTGCATACGCAATTAATATCTGATGCAAAAAAAATAAAAAAAAAAGGAAGTGCACAATATCAACAGGAATAAGATTTCGAAGTTTGGCAACGAGATTTACATATTGAAGAGTATTGTGCGAACCAATATTTTGATTGCGAGAGTGCAGATGTCACTTTCACCGCAAGCCAACAATAGAAGGTGCCGTATTTCACCTCCTGGTGGTATTCTCTGGCATATTTTGAATCACAGGGTAGCTACGCCACTTGGGAAGAAGACGCCTTAGACCACCTTTCGAGTGGAGATAAATCGAAGGATGATAGAGGCATGTATGGATAACTCAGGGAGTTTCAGGCGTTTTCCTGTGTTGGTATTAACGGATCAGGGTCGACTTGAGGCGAAGAAAAAGCCACCATAACTTTGCAATGGTGAGGTTCCTATGGGATTAAAATGTGTGAAAAGCGAGATAGTCTTTGCTTTGTGATAGTGAGGGTTACGGGTGTCTTGTGGCTCCAAACTACTAATATGTACAGTAGAGCTTAAGACTAGATGTAACTTGATTTTCGATTATTAATTAATTCATTTTATTGTCCTGTCTGAGTCTATGACTATGTAGGACATGCAGGTCCTCTCTGCCTACAGGCCAAGGATACCTATACCAGTAGTATAACCCCTCCTATGCCTCCCATACAGCTCCCCTCACACAGTACCACCCCTCACAAGTCCTCATTCGATCATACACTAAGAGGAGCCCTTAGCCCTTCATTATCTCCCCTCTCCAGCCAACGAAACGATGGCCATTTGCGGGTGTATGGCAGCCGGGAAAAAATTGCAAAAACCACTGGGTGCGGGGCTCTTCTAATACCGACATTAGGAATAAATCCGAAGACATATTGCCCCTTCTGAAGCGTTCGAAGAGGCCGGCCAGCTGGGCGCTGCAGACTTGTGGGTACCTCGGAGAATTCACCCTCTGCCTTTCTAGCCTCCTTCCAACTCCTTCCCGAAGGTCGTGCTGAAATGTCAGAAAAGTCTTGACAGAGCGTGATTGCTGTATAGTAGCTTAGCCCAACTTCTTTTGTACCGTCCAGGGCGCTGGGGAGTGCCGTTGACTCATCGACAAAAGAAGCCCTCCTGGCTAGTTAGCCGAAATCTTGGTCTTGGCGCCACAAAAAATCCAAAGTTGAAAACTCCCCGAAAATGTTAGTCCCAGCATGGTCTTCAGAGACCTCTTTCCCCTCTCGCTCCACATCTCAGCCGCTTGTTCTTCCTCAAGATGTATAACCCCATTAGAGCAGCAGTCCCTCATAAACCAAGACCCCAACTTTGTATTTTTCGACTTGATTTCCTCCTTGCGGGTATAAATAGCGTCGTAAATATGTAGAGAGTGATGGCCGGTAATGAATGAGGCAAGCTCCTGTTTGCAATTGGGGTGACGCCGTTATCGGTCGGCGAGGCGAGTTGATATGTGGTTAGATCGGGGTTGAGGACTTAGAAGTTAATGATGAGTGCTGCATGGTTGAGAAGTCGTCAAATGGAGATATGCATGTGTTTGCTTTCGACTTCGATTCGGATGCGATTCTTCTTGGCTATCCCAGATATGCAGAGCATACTGAGCGATTACACCGGCACCACTGGAAGGTGAAGAATTCGTCTTTGCCGGCTTGATTTTCGATTAATACAGGGTGTTGTCTCTTTAAGTACAGTATTCTTTATCTACGCTCGTATTTAGACCTGAACATCATCACATGAGCACTGCGATTTAGCAGAGTCTCGTACTAATCTAGAGGTCTATCAATCTGAATTCCTCAGTGGTACCTGCAAATGAAATCTGAAGCATGAATGCTCCAGCTTCAATTGAGTTATCTCTTCTATGCATCATCTCTGATGTGGTGTCAGGGAACTATTCTCAACACCCTTCAGTGGTGTCCCCAACGAACCTCCAGCTCTCACTGTACAGTCTGCAGAGCCGAGATTGAGTAACAAAGTCCTCACTTCGACGAGGATTCCCAATCGCTTTCGCCGTCTGTATCGTCTTCATCTCTCAACACATTCCCCTATCACCATTATCATGAAGCAAACCACGATCAGATCAGATGGTAGGGTCAGAGCCCTACTCATCATCAACCCTTGATCATGGAGGAAAAGCCATCCGATGAGTTTCCGGAGCGTATCCAGCACCCCATATAGCAATGGTGGATTGGATCAAGTCGACCTCGACTGTTATAAAGATGGGAGATATAGATGAGTATGCGCACCTCGTATGGTCCCAGTATCTAGGCTTTGCCTGGCTGGGGCTACATGTTTTTTGAGACTTTTTCCTACGCACGAAGTTTCCATTACTACCATTTTTATATCTTTTGGGTAGAAGCTGTTGTGAGGTTACGGATCGTAGAGAAATGCTGGAATGGTATAGGAAGGTGAAGGATATATGCCGAACAGCGAAGCAGTTGAATAGAGCTTAAGGGTGAAGCTTGGTAGGGTGACACGAAGAGGGTATGAATAGACCTTCAGAGATATTCAGTGAATGTAATGAACTGAAGATTTCTGAAGGAGAAGAACACAACATATATATACAGGAATTAGTCCTGCTGAGACGAATTTAGAAATAAGCCAGGATATGCGCCCATGTCCCAGTATGGCGACATTATCATGGTGAAGTTATGTCTTGACCACCAGTAGACCCTCAAGCTAGCTGAGTGTAAGACAGAATCATGCATATACCATAATTTCCAGCATATCTTGTGTTAAGCGCCAAGACTAATTAATATTACAGAAAATAGATGTGGCGCAGTATTAAATGATACAAATAACGAAAACGAAAACGAGATAGTACATGACTAGTGTAACAGATGCAGGACTGTTAGAATTACAACAAATAGCTGTTTGTAAAGGTAATAGTCCTACACCTTTGCGAATATAGGTCATGATACGTGATCTCACAGCCCGGTTGAAATTGGAGTAAAAGTGATAAAATTTAGTTGAGTTGTAGATTGCGGGTATTAGTTTATTTATTTTTATGCCTACCTGGCACTAGTTACAACTGAAGCCCTATCCCTGAGGGGACATGGTGACTGGTGACTATTGTGGGTATTAAGAATGAATGAATTTTTATTCGTGATGGGCACAATCCCTGCACTCAAACAGCATCACATGGAGAAGACTAGCTTCTCCGACGAATATATACGACAATATTTCAGTTTGACAGTTGGACTACTCATGTAGTCTCAAGGCACTGTGTTATCGGTATTCCGTAGGGTACGAGTTGGGTACGAGTAGGTTATAGGTGTGGAGTATGCTTGTGATTCCTAAGAGTAGGAGGTATAAAATCAACGTTGAGTAAAGGGTTCACGGAAGAGGTAAAGTTAAACCAAGTACTAGGTGGGGATGGTACAATAACGGCGGTCTTCTTTAGAGAAGAGACAAGTATGTGAACAGTAGGTATGAGTATAAACAGAAGAAGTTGCGTGAAGAAGATTACTCCTTCACGCTGGGTATATATGTACATCAGATAATAGGACAGCCCTAAGCACTGTTTCGAACAGTATTACTACGCAATTCCTATTAAATGACCCTATGTTCCTGAGTCTGTCCTAACTGTTTAAGAACTCAATCTAACATCGAGTCGTGTTAAGGCATGGAACTCCCCATGAGACATCATCCTAGCTTCTACTACGTTTATCCATGAAATGTAGAGGGTGCATTCGCTGATACCACTCGAGACCTTGGTGCTAGAGACTTTCACCCTTCCCTCAACCGCTGATATCCACCAGAGGGAAAACAGGAAGAACCTCTGGCTACTCTAAGTTGCCTTTGCCGTCTTGTATATAGCCGCTGCGCCAGATATGGCCTCACAGTCCTCCCTTTCTCGAGTGAGGTAGGTGTCGAGGCTACCCAGACTTTAATTCAGGGAGATGACGACCAGGAGGCGGACCAAAACACCTTCAATCGTTACCTGTTTTTAGAGTGTCGGTAGCACCACCCGAAATCGCTGCCTCTGCGCCCACAGACACTCGTAAGTCGAAAACACTCGAATAATGTGCGTCCCAGCATGCCCATTTGTGACCTCTTCACTCGTTCGTCCCACATCCCAGCTGCCTGTCCTCCCTCAAGATGTGAAGCCACATTACAGCAACGGTCCCCCATAGACCAAGACCCGAGCTTTGTAGATTTTGATTTAGTTTCCTCCTCGCGGGTATGAATTGCATCGTAACTTTGTAGTAGGAGATGGCCGGTTTTTAATGAGGCGAATACTCAGTTTCAATTGGAATAACGCTTTTATCGGAAGTGAAGGCGAGGTGTTCTAGTAAGGTTGGGGTAGAGGACTCGCGTGAGAATGATAGGTTCAACATTTGTCGAGAAGTCTTCGATTTTAGGTATGCTTGTAATTACTTTCAACTTCGATTCGGATGCGATTCTTCTTAGCTTTCCTAGATTTGCAGAGCATACTGGGCGATTACACCGGCACCACGGGAAAGTGAAGTGTTGATCTTTGCCGGCTACCGCGGGCTTTGGAGGCTCAGAACAATTTCAAAATTCGTCTTTTGTCACGTGATAAGGTGACTAGTCGTTAGGCGAATGCTTTCGAGATCCGATATCAGAAATTTGAAGGACCGATTATAAGCCGTTATAAACAATTCTCCTCAGATGCCGATTGAAATCCCGTGTCCAAATTTGTTAAAAAAACTAACCGCAATTCGGTCGATACAATTGACTGTGGACAGAAAATTTCAACCAAAGCGTCAATTTCACGCTCCATTGAAAGTAATTGGAGAGGATGGATCATACAAGAGATCCATGTCCTTGGGTGGCGTTAAATGATTTTGGAGGCGCTTTCTGTATGGGGGTACGTTTTATCATTAAATCGTCTAAGAAGTAATCCAAGGGCAAATGCGCTGCTTTACTATTTACCTCAGGCTAACCAAATATACAACGTCAGGCTATAGGTGGTGCAGTATGGCATGGTGTGAAAGGGTTTCGAAATTCACCATATGGCGAACGAAGAATTGGGGCCATAACAGCAATTAAAGCACGCGCGCCAGTGCTGGGTGGCAATTTTGGTGTCTGGGGCGGCCTATTCTCAACCTTTGATTGTGCAGTCAAGGGTATAAGGAAGAAAGAGGATCCATACAACGCCAGTAAGTCACCCAAAACTAACTTTAGAAAAATTTGTAGAGCCACATACTGATTGGGGTAAAGTTATCGCGGGATTCTTCACAGGAGGTGCCTTGGCCGTAAGAGGTGGATTTAAAGCTGCGAGAAATTCCGCTATAGGATGTGCTTGCTTACTAGCCGTTATAGAGGGCGTTGGAATTGGCTTTCAGAGAATGATGGCAGAGAATACAAAATTAGTTGTATGTCTCTTTCTATTCTTCCCTATTTCTCTCAAACTAACATAATAGGTTCCTCAACCACCTCCGTCCGAAGTAACAGCTAGCAATCTATCAGCTATATCTACAGCTTAACCTATCATAACATAAAACGTCCTTGCTCAAGGGAGCAATTCACTTAGCAGCCAGCACCTCATATTCTAGAAAAGCCTTGTACTTACCCGGATATCAACTACCTATCCGATCAAATCAGAATCGATGAGCCGGAAACCATATTTTCACAATTGTCAAAAACCTCCACTCACGACTCTTAAATCAATTAAATACTCTTGTCTTCAAGACGGGTTTTGATGATGCAATGTCCGATCATGGTTTATCTTAAGAACCTTCACCTTAACGGCACAAACTGCCATGATACTAAAATAATAAAAATTGAGTCACTGTACATTATTGAGATAAACGAAAATTAGACCATAAGATATCTTGCTAAGGATAAACAAGCCTGTAACATGTGAATTAAGCACGCAAGTTAGTGTAGGACCAAACAGACTTAAGTTTTTTATACACTTTGTTGCACGCAAAATCATTAGTTGGTCAAACAAAATTTCCCACACGTCAGCTTTGCAGCAGCAGGAATCTATATGCAAGAATGGTTCCCTAGCCCAACTTACAGTGATGAGGTGTTTTGACTTCGTCTCGCTCTAAAAGTAAATAATTTATTTCCATAAATAAATCCTCATGTCCGATGAGACGTGATGAACTTATTACTCTTCATGTTTTACCTTACCAAATTCAACCCTCGGTGTTGGGTCACTCGCCGAAAAGTTCCTCCTGAAGTATTATTTCATTTAACTGTCCTGTCTGAGTCTATGACTATGTAGGACATGCAGGTCCTCTCTGCCTACAGGCCAAGGATACCTATACCAGTAGTATACCCCCTCCTATGCCTCCCATACAGCTCTCCTCAAACAGTACGGCCTCTCAGAAGTCCTCATTCGATCATACATTTAGAGGAGCACTTTGCCCTTCACTATCCTCCCGAAGTAGACTGTACAAACATTTATTTCGGAGATTAGCTGATAAAATCTTATATTTCGCGCATTTGGTCCAAATTGATACTTCATCACCCCTTCTAATAGACACCCACATCATGACATACACGTTTTTTTAATTCATAATGCATACAGCTATCTAGCTACGACGTAGGGTTGGATGGTGCAGTGGTACACTAACCGGGCCGTCTTCCCAAGTAGATACTGGGTAGCTTGAACACCCACCCCATTCGAGACAGGAAAAAGCTGGTTCGATACTCATAAGTTGCACACACCCCTCTCCCGCGCAGTGATATTGTACTTGTGGGATGACACAAGCACACTTGGATTGTCACAGGTTTTTCACGCTTTTCCCTGTGGTGGGAATGCACGGAATAAGTTACATCCTGTAAGGGCTAATTTCGATCGGTACCTGCAAACGAAATCTAAGTGTGAGTGTTCTAGACGTCAAATTGAGTCATCCTACTTAAAGTACATATCTTCTGATAAAAACCTGCACGGGCCTCAAGGCACCATATCTGGACAATGAACTAAATACATATATCTAGCTACAACACAAAATTTACATAATTCCAGTTCCAAAAACTCTAAACTTGTATCTAATTTGTCAATCAATTTCCTAAAATTTCCACTTTGATTTTCTCATTTAAATTTCTTGATGTGCTACCATGCACTTGGATGTATTCAAATATTTAGGTAAAGCTTCTGTTGCTCGTCTTGTTTAAAACAAGATTGTATATTGTAGAAGTATCAGTCACTGAGCCTTAGAAGACATGTGACTTGATTTGTAAGCTGGTCTAAACTTGTAGTGGTGGTTCGCCACATCTCACATGAACCATCTCACATGATATATTACACATAAAATTAGATAGAAACACACAATAAAATCTCCATGGACATTTTGACAACACCAATAACTGATCATCAACTCCTAACACATCGCATCACCCATTACCCTTATTTACAAGAATCTTCAATCGGTGCAATGGCCCCAGCTGTTGCATTGTCATCAACAACGCCCTCCAATCCAGGAGGGAAACTTCACCCAAGCCTGCTTGGCATTGTGAATACAATGCACAAAGCAGAACAACTATCACGGTTTCGAGGGGCAAGTGCTGGGGCAACTATGTGGTCGATGGTAGTAAATAATAATTCTAAGGAGAGAACTTCCACTACATCTATCTATTCATTTATATACGTGAAAGCCTCCTCGCCACCAAGGCTAATCCCTCTCCTGTTCCTATGCTATGGGACTCCCCTAGTGTTCTGACTATGCCTGTAATACAGCACTATCACGTTATGGTCCGGAAGGATTGTACTCGGTCTCGTATATTCCCAGTCAGTGTAAGCCTATCAACATGTGGTGCAGTGCCGTACTGCCGTGCCGCACTGCCGAGTCTGATGCCATGTGAATACCATGCAAATGCCGACGCAAAAGTATTGTATTGGGTGGCGTCGCATATTAGCGCATTGGTAGCCATTAATAACGCCACTCGAATCAGGCCTAAGTTAACCAACATAGGCTACAGGGACCAATCGGCTTACCAGCCGTTACAACAACAACAACAGAAAGAAAGACTGGATATAGCCCAGGAATTTCTAGAACTAATCGACTCCTGGGCTAAGAGCAAAGGAGAGAAACAAGCAGCAGCAGTTGTCGCAACTCTGCTGGAAAACATCACGCCTATTATCACTGCCTTCGCAGTAGATCAGGTAGAAGCATCTAACTTTCCAAGTAAGAAGCCCCCCACCATGGCAAGCACTCCAAAACCAGTCGCACCTAGGAAAAATACAGCTGTTGAGGATCACAGCCACGCTCTACCCCCAAAGCCTCATGACACCAGCTCGCCCTGGGTGACAGTAGCCCGTAAAGCGGCCAAGTTACCGACACCACCAAATGTGCAAGTTTCGCGAAGGCCTGCTCCATCAAGCCACCCGAAATCACAGACAACCCAAAAGGAGGACAAATGCCTGTTCCTTTGATTGGGGAGAGATCACCACTGGCACAAGCTCTCGCCAGTTACAATCAAGAAAATAATAACCAACAAGGCTGGGATAGCAGCCTCAGCTATCACCTCCATGTACCCACTCAGGTTGGGGATTGCTCTCAAATGCGCATCAGATGCATTGAGAGACACAATCATGAGGATTGCACCTTCCCTACAGGAAGACAACACTGTGATTGAGGAAGCGTCCAAATGGACATCATTGATTGTACCTCATGTGCCATTGTACATCAGGACGCTTGAAGGCAGCATCCCAGTCACCAACAATATGGTGAAGAACGAGTGCCAGGCTGTATGCGGCGCCACACCAATCTAGGTAAGGCCCACAGAAACAAAGCTTGGGCTATACTCAACAAGCTGGATTGTTCATTTCCAACAAAAACCAGCAAACACAATGTTTCGTCTCTTTGACAAGAGCGGACCAGCAATTCCCTTCTCGCGCCGAAGACCAATCGAGCAATGCCAACGTTGCTGGGGATTCCACACAACGCGCTCCTGTACTCGGAGCCAACAATGTGGGAGATATGGGGGAACCCATGAGACATCAGAGTGCCAGGCAAAGGTGTCAAAGTGCTCAAATTGCGAGGGACCTCACCACTCAAATGAGGGCAGCTGTATGGTCCGGCCAAGACAACAAAACGGGATAATTCTGCCCCGCACTCCGGCAGAACTTCACATCATCAGAGAACGCGGACATCGTGATTATCATGCTACTCTAGCGTACTCTGAAAGGAAGGGTAAGGCGGTTGAAACCGTCATTGCCCAGGACTCAACAATGTTGTGTTAATGTTAGGAAACCCCTCAACAAAAGCACCAAAAGGCAAGTACAACACCATCCACTTTCACCAAGTGAATGTCGGAAGAGGTGGGGAAAACACGGATATAGCATTGCAGCAGGCATGGGATGCCGGTGCACATGTAGTCATGGTACAGGAACCATGGACAAGAAAGAAAGAGGGGGGTTTTATAACAAAAAGTCACCCTGGCTACAATAGCCACATACCATTCAGAGGAACAGACATCCGGCCCCGCGCAATAACTTTCACGCGCAAAGGTAGTCATGCAACTCAACTATTTCCACTGTTGTCAGGCCCGACATCTGACTACTGTTTTGTAAAGATGGGCAGCCTAACCTTTGTCAACGTATACCATTCCCCAGGCACTAGTGGAACCTTGGAGCCCTGACTCCGGTGGGAAGTTAGAGGTTTAGTGGTTGTTGGAGGCGATTTCAATTCTGTCTCACAGCATTGGCAGCCGCAAACAACAAATCAGTGCGGCAATGGTAATCAGATTATGGAATGGGCAACAGCCCACGACATGGACCTAGTCAGCATTGTTGGAGAGCCAACGCACAGGGATGGGAACGTCCTAGATCTAACGTGGAGCAACACGGCCGCTGTAGCATCTGTGTCCAGCCGCTACCACTGTACCTCAGATCACTCGACCATCGAAGGTACCGTGCTTAAACCCTACAGTGTCAGATCTCTCTGGAATTGTAAAGAACATTTGCGTCAGCGACGCCAACTTGAAGGAATTTAGCCGATGCGTTAGCCAATGGACCAAATCTGGTCCTCTCGACAGTTTTGTCAACATCGAAAACTTCACAAATGATCTCCCACAAGTACTTGGAGATGCGCTGTCACAGTTCGAATATAGAAAGCGAATGGGCATTTGTATGATTGAAAGGTAAAGCTATAATTCATCTATGTAGAAGCAAACTACCTACAAGTCTCCTCTACTACTTATACACATCCAGAGGTATCTAAATCTAGCCTACACTTACAGTGGCAATGAAACTGACTAAAGGTTTGTTCTGCCACACGGGTAACGCTTCCGATACTCTTGGCACTATCCTTTACGTAGCCTCAGTGGCGATCTCATATCAGTTTTCGTCTGCTGATAATCCTCGGAGTGATAGATAATTTAGGTTGCCTTAGGTTGCCTTCGATAGCCATCGAAGGCTACAGGGCTTATCGGCTCACAAGCCGTCACATGCACTCAAGATTGCAGGGAAAGCTCTAGCCATTGAAAGCGGAAGAACTGGGCCATGGTGGACCGATGAATGTCGCATAGAATG